CTTTCATGATCTAAACTTAATTTATTATAACAGCAACAAACTGTAGTTATGATTTCTAACCTAGGGCTGATATTTTTACTGCTTCACACCAATCCCTTAAAAAGTGTTTACAAATAACTATTTAATGTTCTGGATTTAATGGTTTAATGGTGAAAACCTTTCTTCGTATGGTATTACTGTGATGCAACCTACTTAGTATTTCCAACAAACTTCTTAAAATGCATTGTGAAGAATTAAATTAGGTAACACTGAGGTACCTGTGAGATCAGTTCCTTCAGGAAAGATGAGAAGCTGTAGCGGTTCATGAATATCACAAAAATAATCCAGCATCTTTTCAAAATGATGTTTGTCTTCTTCCCATTTCCTGTGAATGAAAATGAAGGCAGCAACCTGCATGGCCCAACCTAAAACAAATTTGAAAAATCTGTTAAACACTGAACTAGTTATTTATTTGGTTGGTTGGTCCCTGAACATGATTTGGATTCCCAAATTATCCAAAGATGCTTTGATATAAGAACTCAATATATTTCTTAGTAAAGGATATGTCATAGTAGTGTGTATGATTATATTAAAAACATAATTAAGAGTTTGAGAGATGGTACTAAACTTGTGGAAGAAAAGCAAGATTTATGTTAACTGATTCTTTTTTACATAAAATGTGCATTCATACAATAAAAAGTTGCAGCAACAATGGCTTGATCTCCAAAGTAAGGTTTCAGCATGACTGTTTTTTCTTGTTTATTTCATGACTATGCAGAAAAGAGTTAACTATAGTTCCTTCTCCCAAACATATCAGCCACAAAGAGCACTCATTACTTCTTCATGGCTGGCACTTATGAAGAAAAGGTTTTAAGGCCATATAGCCATGGACAATAGGAGACAGAAGTCACTAGCCCCCCCAAAAATAAATAAAAAGGAAAAATAATATTCAAGTAGAGAAAAAAGAATGCATTATGAATCTGAAAAAACAAAGTAGCTCCAGAGAGATGCTTCAAAGCTGCTGGGACTAAGACAACTGAAGAATTGAGGGGAACTGATGAGAGCTGTGCTCTAAATGAAGCACAGTTCAGAGGTACAGCTCCTGCTAAAATCCCTAGCTCAGGAATATTCCATATAGATACAGATTCATATATATGAATCACAAAGATGTTGATGAAGAACCACAATTAACTTTCCATTTGGCAGTATTTAGATAAACACATGTGAAGAATTAAAATGTAAAAAAAATGAAATGTAATTATCTTACCAATTCATTTCACCTTGCCAGCTGAACTGTCAACTCTTATAAAGGTAATTCCTGAAACAGGTGTAATTTCTTTTTCATTCACTCAGGGCAGAGTGGCTACAGTCCAGTTGATGTACAAAAAGATGCTGAGAAATGCAGCTCACTCCAAACAAAACTTTATCCAGTTGGAGGAAGGAAGCCACAACTGGAAAAATTCTCTTTTATGTAGTTACTAAAATATTCTGAATCTCAAATTAATTCTATATTGGGGAAAATGTATGTATTGTCTCATTAATTCAGATGTGTCAAAGAGACTTTGCTCAACATTTACTGAAGTCAGATCTGAAAGGGAATTGAGCAAGGCCTTTTCTGTCGCAACACCCAGTCTGGAAAACTATTTTCCAGTATATCAGACTCATTTCTTAGGTTCCATAAGCAACTTAAAAATATTTTTAATTGAAATGGTATTTGCCCAGTATGTGAACCATTTTATCTATTATGTGCCTACTGTTTTATATAATAAAAGTTAAAAAGATTGTTCATAAATTGGAAGGTGTCTAAGTTTGAAATTACAATTTCTTGGGTAAGCACTGGGAAAGGGGATCCCCCCCCCCTTTTTGGAAAAAAAAATTAAGTCCATCAGAACCCTTTCATGATCTAAACTTAATTTATTATAACAGCAACATAAAATAACTGGCTTTGCTCATAAAATCATATTTGATAGTTAAATAAAATTGGAGTTCATTTTTAAGTTCAAAAGTACTTGTAAAAGTTGAATTACAATGGACACTGATTAGAGAAATATACTACTGTAGCTAAAATATAGTTTGATATACTAGATTCAGTTATCTTTCAATAAAGTCATCAAGTTCTCTTTCATGTTTTCTGTGGTATGATGGTTTTGATTTGTTTTTGTGGCGCTCAAAGATAGACTCATAAGGGTAAGATGAGAAGTCATTCCACTCAAAACATTCAGATTTGCTCTGTCCTAAGCAAAAGAGCACCTGATACCTTATCTTCAGCCTAATATCTGAATAAACATAAACATTCCCTACCAGCACCCCTCAACACTACTGAGGATAGTGGGAATTGTGGTTCAGCAACACTTAGAAAATGGCATGCTTGGCATGACTGCATTGCTGCGTATTTCAACTGTATTCCTGGTGCTGTGAGATGTAGGGAATCTAGCAGGATGATACAGACCTCTACAACAGCTTTCCAACAATAAGCAAGCAAGTCTAAAAGTAAAGACAACACTGATTTCTTCTTCCTTCTTTAGTGAAAGTGCCTTTAGGAACTGGAAACATATTTTGCTCTTGCAGGCACTGCTTCTTCTAAGCATAGGGACGGTGATGAACCTGTATGGAAGTCTCTTCCTGTAAATTATTTAAGAAAATATTTCACAATCTATTTTTTAAGGGGACTTTAAAGGGGGTGCAGGAAAAGAAGTTTTTTCAAAGTACCCAGGGAGAGGGGAAAGATTCTCTTTTCTCATTCTGCTGATGTTAAGGGCTAATTAGAAACTTATATTTCCACTGGAATAAATTCTACATTTTGTTCCTTAGGGATGATTTTTAAGAGGAAACAGATGTCTAACCAAACTGTCAATGTTTGCAAAAAAAATGCACACCATTACTTCTATTTTCCTTCTGAACTGAGTTTAAACATTAAATCCTTCAACATTATGAAATATGCATGAGTCTAAGCACATCAGAGAATTAGGTATTAAGTACAGAAACTATCACACCATATATAATTTTTAAAAAATGGCAAAAAACAGCAAAACCATTTCAACCCTTCCCAAATTTTATTTTCTATCAGTGGACTCCTGCATTATTTATCATTAGCCATTATAAGCTGCTTCTTGTTACAAATAACCTAGTGAAGCTTTTCCCAACCTGGCATCCTCAGGATATATTGGTACTACAACTTCTAAAATTCTGGGAAATTCTCTCAACTGCAATCCCAACACTTCTGAAGACATCTGAAGATCAGGAAAGGCTGATCTTTTGGTTCTTCAAATTTCAATTGTTTGTTATTAAAAAAAACATATTTATTTCCCTACAGCCAGAGAATTCAACAAAATTATATGCATGCTATAGACCACAGATACCATTTTATTATATGCTATAAAGCATAAAGACTAGTCTATAGATTAGGTATTATAGCACCATATTGCTGATGAGGCAAAGCAAGCTTGTTTCATGAATATTCCTGAAAATAAAAAGTTAAATATTTATACATTATTTTTGGGAAGCAGCTGTGTAGAATCAGTTCTAGGCCAAACTTCAATGTTGGATTGCAACAATCAAGAGGGAGGCCAGAAGAAATTTTAAAATCCTTAAAACAAGCTGTGATTTAGATGATTTTTGTTCCCTTCAAATTACTATCCCTGCCATTTCTTCTAACAAAACCCTCACTGAAAAAGCAACAGGACTGAGACTTAGACTTGACTAATTATCAGATTAGACAACATTTGTATTATTACCTCTGTTAGAAACTCATGTTCGTTCCCCTTCTCAGCGTCTAGATTAGGGTTAAAGTTCATATTTTAAAAAAAAAAGATTTTGGTATCCATCTTTCTGGTGTAAACAATTCAGTAAAAATGATAACATTATAAGGGACATTTTCCAGCATGTGCTCTCAAACCTACCTCACAATATAAATAACTCTAAAGTAATTAAGTCTGACAGCTCTTGATGAAATTGCTGGAAGACATCATATGACACTGTTGCTCAGGCTCTCACTTAAAAAGTTCATCACCTACAATCCACAAAGCAAACCACAAGCTATTTATACACCATTTGGATGAAGGGACCCCCCCCACACACACACACGCACACATCACATACAAAATCTTCGACCCAATTCGGATATTACCTTGCACAGTGTAACAACAGGCCTCCCTCTAAGGAGCTATGGATATGATTGTAACTACAAGGACAGTGATAAATGTAGGCAAAACATAAGCCAACTCCTGGTTGGGAAATCACTTTTATTATAAAGGAACTGTTGCAAAATACCCTTTGTTGCTTCAGTCTCTGAGTAGTGTGTGGACTCTTATTTACAAGGACTTTATTGCACAACCTATCTTCATATCTTATTCTATCCTAATTAACACTTATTTCTAAACTACTCTCACATTCCAAATTACTTTAGCTTTATTCCTATGTTTCTTTTCTACAGTACTGTCTTTATTTATTCAATTCACCTTTTACCCTTTCCCTCCCTTAATTAGCCTCTATCTATCTGGTACTGATATTCTTCACTTTCCCTCAACTGGTGTGGGAAATTTTTTAGCTCTCAGGCACACGCTCGGTTGCTGGGCACACACTAGCTTTTCTTCACAGCCTTTCAGCCTGCTGGTGAGCCTGTTGGGGTTGCTGTCTCAGCTGCTGCTGTGAACTTTTAGGAAGGGGCACTCCTGATTTGCTCCCATGTCATCATCACCAGTTTTCACACTAAATCTACCATAGCCCATTGTGTTGTCACTTGACACACTACTGTCTAGAGTTCTTTACATCTTCAGCCACCCACAAACTCTTTGGCCTTGTTCCTTTGGGTGCTATACTCACTATGCCATGTTCTCTTCAACAAACAGCAGCTAGCTCTTCTCTGGCAATCCACCCAAAGACCCTAAGACAATTTAGGTCCTATTTAAAAACAATCAGCTGTACTTCTTAACTTCTAAAAAGATAAGGATGTACATGTTGGACAAGCTAGACATGACATACATGAGAGGCGGATACAGATAGCTTTGCAACTTTGGCTTCCTCTCACAATGAGTCTTCACTAAATTACTAAGTGGCTTGGAAGAACTATTTTGAAGAGCTTTCCTCTGACTTGGTGTTTCCAACTTTATTTTATTTTTTATTTCCTACTTTTATGGTATTATTGTTATCATGTTGCTTATTGTTACTGTCTCTTATTTATGACTGTTGAGTTTTTAGACTGTATTATGAATGTTTTAAATATATCATTTACTCTATGTAAGCCACCAAGAGCCTTTTTTAAATTGTGGTGAGGTAGAAATATATTTAATAAGTAAAATAAATGGACCAATACCTGTGCCATGCTTTGATTTGGTAAGGTCATACTATGATGTCCTATATGCAAGAGTAACCATATAAGGACTTTATTAGTTCTAAAAAATAATATGGTAAAAGCCTCTTAGAGAGTAGTAGACACTGTAGGACTATAACAGTCTTGCATTTGAAAGCTTCATTCTTTTAAATTATTTTCTCAATATATATTAATGTATGTTCTTTCAGATTACTTATATAATTTAGTAAACAATAAATTCAATTACTTACTGGTTTTATATTATGTATTTATTCATATCTGCAGAAAATGTTGTAGCAGCATCCTGCCAGGTGGGACAAAACTGGACAACTCTATCTGAGATACAGCTAAAAGCAAGAATACAGGCAATTCCACATAGCACCCACTTCAGCCTCATACACATTTCAATAGCCTTGTGCTGCTATGCGAGTTGTAGTCTGCTGTCTCATTTTTCTAACTAATGTGCCCTCTAGCTGCCTGTAGGAGGGCACAAAAAATGACAGTCAACCATTGCTCTGCCCTCACCCCCATCTTTATGTTAGCTTATTTGTTCTTTGTGGCAAAGAAAAGAGACATTACTACAGCATCAACTGGCCACTATGTGGGAGAAATGGTAGCCCCTTCTTTGGGTAGCTAAAAAGAATAGGGGAATGACAAGCTTCTACCGGCCTTGACTACAAGATAGCAGGGGAAGTAGAGAGTTATCACGAATGGGAAACTGTCCACCCTCCAGCTCCAGAAGTAGCACAGCAAAACAGTCTTTGTAGCATTTCTGTTACAGCAGGAACTAAGCTGATAGCAAATCCCAAGTTGTGCACAAATTCCACAATATCAAGGAGAAATGGACAAACATGCAAAAGGGGCCTAAGGTTGCAATGAGCAATCTCCTCATTAGTTCAAGAGTCTGTGGGTGTTACATAAAGATCCAAAAATTCAATAATGAACAGTACTTTTATGTAAATATGATCCACCCATTTACTATCATTACCAGGGAACCCAACATACAACATAGTCAAGAACTTACAAAAAAGGTTGTACATCTCACAGAGGGGAGCCAATATTCTATTAACTCCTTGCTACAGTGCCTCCAGAAAATCAAAGACATAAACATAGAATAAGATGAAATTATGGTTTCATTCAATCTCACAGCACCCTACGTAGATCCAGAACTAGCAAAAGAATCAATGGCAGCAGTACTGTACAACACGCCTGACCTAACCAAATACACTAAGTTCAAAATACCCAGAATCATGGACTTCATCAACCTCTGCATCACTACCTACTTTCAGTTTGATAGACAAATATACCCATAAATCAGAGGAACACCCATGGGATCATCACTCTCAGGACTTATACAGAGACTATAATGCAGCGTCTATAGAAACTATAGCACTCCTACACATACAGTCAAAAGTATGGATCCGGTATCTAAACAATACTTTCATTATAATAAAAAAAGAACAACTAGAGAAGACACATGAAACTATCAACAACATCTTTAAAGGTATAAAATTCACAAGGGAAGACGAAAACAACACACTACCCTCCTGGATATTCTCATCAGCAGAAGAAACAATGGCAAATTAGAAATGTAAGTCTATTGAAAAACAACCCACACTAATGAAGTGATCCATTACCAAATAACCCAACCTCCACAAGAGGAGCTATGTAAGAAAACTATGTAGATGAGCACAAATGCACTGCAGCAACCCAGAACAGCAGAAAAAGGAAACAGACTGCCTATATAACATCTTCCAACAAAATGGGTACCCATGCAACTTTATCAAAAAGTGCCTGACCACCCAGTCCACTACAACACAACCAACACAAGCTATGAAAAGGATAAACACTACCATACACAAAGAACATCTCAGAAACAACCAACGAACTATTACAACCACACGGCACCACCGTAGCACACAAACCAACTAAAGCCCTCCAAAATATCTTAAGTAAACCAAAAGACCCAGTATCCCAAGAAGAAAAAAACCAGGAATCATCTACAGCATACAGCGTAAGGACTATAACAGCCACTGTGTAGGACAGACAGGCAGAAGACTAGCAGAGGGCATCCATGAACACCAACTAACAGTCAGAAGACATGATGGAAACTCCTTAATCTCCTAACACATGGTCAGATTCAACCATAGTTTCAGCTGGGAACCTGTGAGCATTCTAGACCAAGCTAAATACAAAAACACTATGTCCTCATAATATTGTACATGCTCTGAGTAATTTATTTCCAGTAAATTCCAGTGAATTTACATCAGATAAAACAAAATAAAAGCAATGCTTTCATAGTTGCCCCATGTAAATTGTGGTTGTCAATACCTTTGCCACATCTGAAGGTACTGCCTATTTGTATCTTACTTAGTTCTGCTCCTGCCAATTATAAGACAAAACAAAACAAAGCAGAACAAAACAGAATGCTATGGGTCATGACAGATGTGATGACATTAATTTAATAAAGTAATGTTTGTTAATACAAGAATGAATGATATACCAGTATACTTATATCTTACCTCTTTCTGCATAATTTGACTTTAATATTTGAATTGTGGTTTGTTGAAAATGAAAAAGAGAAGCATATGGGTCCAAGTCTTATTCTTCAATAAATATTAAGCTGACACCATTAAATCTAACACTGCACAATTTCTATCCTGTCACACATAAATTCCAACCAATAATGTGGCTAGTGACAACAGAATTTGGAATTCTGAAAAGAAAATTATTTTCTTGATACCCTTAAAAAGTAAAAAACAAAAACAAAACAAGCCTACTCAATGACTACTAATCACAAAGGCTATCTGTTAACTCTAAGTTAACAAATTGTTAAAGAGAAGATTATTAACCCAAACTCCTCACGGTGGGGTTGCTAGAGGCATCAGGTTGGACATTGTGGAAAGCATGACAGAAGACTGGAATGACCTCTGACCTAATCCAGTATGGCTCTCATACAAGAGTCAAAGGCTAAAGACTAAAATTAAACACAAATCATTTTGCATCATATCTGAAGAGATATTAAAAAAAAATATTTGGAACATAGGCAATATTTGACTTGGTAAAATGGAAAGAAGACTATACTGTTAAAAGACTTTTATCATTCTGGGATTTTTCTCTCCAAGTGGCTCCAGAGAGCCCTCAGGTCAGTTAACAATATATCATAAAATATATATGTACAAGTTTGATAATAAATAAATAAATATCCAACAAATAACTCTATCTTAACAAAACAGAAGACCTAAAATAATGCATTTTAAAATACTGCAAGGGGTAGCAAGTATTTCCCCAGCATACATAAAATGGGAACAAGGGGGAGTGAAGGAAATCAATCAATAACCTACCAAAACCCGGAATGCCTTTGAGACTAGACTTGAGGCAGATTTTTTCAAGTCGGAGGTAGCTATATCTCAGCAAGCAGCTCCATAGGAACATCCAATCCATTCGTGTTCGATGATTCATGATTATAACACTTCTCTCTTCAGGGATGAATCCATCACCTGTTATAACTACCTTTGCCCCAAACACTATCTCCAGCAGGGCCTAGGTGAAAATCAGAAAGGTTATATGGCAAACCTGCAAATGAGCTAAACATCTCAGAGCAAATATTAACATAGATCAAACAAAGACATTAACTTGCACTAAATTTTTAGATTAGCCTACGCTTACCTCTACAGATACATTAAAGCTATTTTTTTTAAACTGTAATTTACCTGAAGAACTTGAGAAACTTTTCACAATAGTATAACTGCATAGTAAGTTCAACTTTACTGATTTAGTCTATTGACCATATCAAGTATAAAGGTAATAAGATAAAATAAAATAAATGCCA